GATTTGTGTAATGATATAATTTTGGAGTTACTTCTCTGGCTGTATTGGCTCAAATTAATGTAGATGATCATTTTAGCTGATTTTTCATATAATTTTTTATTAATACAATACTTCCTCCGTCTCTTTTTAGTTGCAACAATCAACATTTCACGTTTGCCAATGCACAACTTTGACTGTCATTATATTTAATTATGTAATAGTAAAAATAAAATAAAAATCAGATTATAAAACTTAGTAATGAGACGGATTTAATAACATTTTTCAAAAAAATAATAATTCACATACATTAATAAATAAAATGTAGTCGAAGTAAAGTATATGAATAGTGTATATATTCCAATGTTGCAATTAATAAGATACGGAGGATAGTATATTTTAAATATTATTTTTTCATAAATTAGCAGAATCGGCCAATCCATACACTTCATCCATAATTTCATAAATTTTAGTAAAATCAGTCAATACGGCTGATTTGAGTATTGCCAAACGGGCTCTTAATTTTTAATTTTTTTAAAAAATTAATTTATCAAATTAAGTTAAATTTGTTAAATTTTAAAATACATTCTTTGTAATGACAAACGCAGAATTATTTCAAGTAAAACAATATAAATGATCTTCCCCCGAAAAATACGGAGTATTAAAATAAAAGTTTCTGATAACTATTTGTGTACAAAAGAGAAAATGATCAAATAAGGCCTTCTACTATTATGAAACAGTCACATAAAGCCATGTACTCAATAAAGTGCCACATAAGTACCTCTACTTGTAAAAAGCAATCAAATGAGTCCTAATGACCTATTTAACACCTCTTAATCCCGGTTTCAACGTACTTCTGACCATCTTTTTAGAATACATTATACGGCATATGTCGAATATTTAACTAAGATTGGTTGAAACACAAGTTGTACATTATACAAAAAGTGTACATTTTTGTTTACGCGCATTATCTATGCACACAGACAACTCGTCTAATAAAAGTCAAAAATTATCTATAATTGTTTATATATATACACATGTGAGGATATAAAAAGGGGACACTTTTATGTTTGGAAAGGAGAGTGATTATATTATAGCAATCAAACTTCTCAAAGTTCTCCCAACCGTACATCGCCAAACCTCCCCATGAGGCTCCGCATAGCCAAAAGACTCTCTCACTTTCTGACTGGACATAGAATAGAGCACCCTTAAGAGAGCGAGACTATTCGCTAACCATGTGAGAGTTTCAAAGCTTTTAACGGCCACACAAGCCTTATCGCTTTCGCCCACTAAAATGTCTTGAGCAAAATAAAAAAACCAAAGAAACAACCTACCCCTAGAGTTCAAGATGAAAACAAAAGCAACATTGTCGACCGACAATAAAAAGCACAAAAAATAATAAAAATAATAAGTTCCTCTCCATTCTCGCGAACACCTTTACCGCTCCGCCACCCGAGAACAACATCATCTTTGTTCAAAAAGGGGACACTTTTTTGTACATTAACAATTAGTCAAAAATATGATTATGCAATATGAATGTGTATTTACATAGAAACTCGCACGGGTAGCTAAGTTGGTCGAGTCGTGGGAAAATTGGACAAAGTGACCAAAGTTCGAAACCCGCAACGGTCGTGTGGAAGTTACAGAACCTGAAATAAGGTTGGACCTCTGATTCGCACGTGTATAAGACCTAACGTCGTTTTGATGACTGAATAACCGTGATTACGCTCCCAACCATCATGTCAAGTCAGGGTGAGGGGCCTTGGGGATCGTTGGAGTTGGGCATTCAACCTTTTGGACAAAGTGTATTTACATGGAAATAGAAGGGGCACAAATTCCAAAGGGGAAAATGTGAGGGGTGAAGAACACAGCGTGGTTGTGAATCAGAATGGGGGCCACGTCATTTGCAATGGCACTGTTTTGTAGGTCATCTAACCTTAGCTGCTTGCAAACCAAGACAAATTGTTTAGAATTATTCAAAGATTTGAATGACCTCTAAGGACCCTCCTGTCCCCTGTTTGCTTCTGCTTTAATTTTAGCTCTTGAATTGGGACATTTTTATGCATTACTCATCTTTTAATTTTCTCCCAAATTGTTGACTTTTATGGTTTATTTTCCTTCCCAGTTCCCAAACAATATTCATACTCGCACCTTTTTCTCTTGAAAAGGAAGACATTTCTTTTCCTTTGTCAAATGTCCTATTTACAGCAGCCGCTCATAAGAACACACATGAAAAAAGATGGGAAAAGGAACACGAAGAATCTAGCTTAGATTCATTGTTGTTCCCAATCAATTATAATCTTCAAAGCATCATATTTGGAACTAATCTTTCAATTTACTTTTTTTTACTACGGAGTATTTTAGTAACTGTGTGAAGAAGAAAGATGACAAAATGTGGTGAGAACATTTTAACTGTAGTTTATTTTAATCTATTATTAGTATTGTATGTTTAACATCGGTATTTTTGTCAAAAGACAAAGAAGTTTTTCCTATAATAGTATTCAAATAAAACCTATAGAAAAAAGTAGGAGTAATTTGAGTTTGCACCCGATATTATTGTCTAAATTGGACTTTGCACCTCGTTTAATTTTTTTTGTGTTTGCACCCCAACCCCATATGAAAAGACTAAAATGCTCCTCCATTAACAATTCTGTTGACCTTCAACATATTTCTGATTGAGGAAATTTTTGTCTTTTCATATGAGGATGGGTTCAAAAACAAATTTTTTTAAAAACAATGTGGAAAGTCCAATTTAGATAATAATATGGGGTGCAAACTCAAATTACCCAAAAAATATGAGTAAAGTGATCGACTATGTGTGTAATTAACTTGGTGGTCTGATAAGTCCATTTTTGTACTTATTTTTCTCATCATATTTGAGCGATTTTCAGATAGAAAATAGAAAAACAAGACATGTTTTAGATATTTTGGTTCCAATTTCATTAAATCAGGTGAAAACCGCATTCATAATATGTTTGGCGAAATTTCGGGTCAATTGCGTGAAGAAAGTGACATTTTTTCCCAACAAATGAATTGCTACGGAAGTTTGAAAGATATGTTGACCAATTTTTCAAAAAAGAAGAGTCTACGAGATGAAAAAATCATGAAAGGAAGTTCAAAACCAAGTGGAAGTCGCCTATATGGCCACTTTTGATGAAAATGGACGATGCATAGAGACACATGTTCATATTTTGATCATAACTTTGCGCATGATTGCTCAACATTCGTGATACGAGTTGCATTACATTGACATCTTCTTGCTCTACAACTCTTATGAAGAACATAGAACCAAATAACAATAGTAGAATGGACATATTGCTCAAAGAAGTCAGACATTTGCAGTTGCGATGGAAAGTGACATATGCTCACCGTTTTGGTCATATCTCATAAACTACAAATCCAATGAATGTAATTCAAAAACCAGTAGTTATACAAGAAAGATATCTACAACTTTGGTGAAGACAACGTTTCCATTTGACATGAGGCGGTCAATAAGGAGGCCGCCTTTCTGGGCGCATACGAGTTTTTGACAGTTTCAGCACACAGGGCTTTGCATGGCGACAAAATAATGAAGGGCCGGAAGGCGGCCGCCCTCCGTGGCCGTCTGCGGCGCGATGTGACTTTTGAGCTGCCGGTCGCTGAGACAAGACGGGAGGCGGCCAAATAGGCGGTCGTCCTCCACGGGCGCCTGCGGCGGATTTGACGCGTGCACGCAGCTTTGTCGGTGATTTGATGGAAGGCTGTCGACCATGGCCGGAGGGCGGCCGCCCTTCTGGCCGCCTTCCACAAAACTCCAGCTATAAAAGCTCTCTTCCATCCCCAACTCAAAACACACCATCTCACACCCAACTCAGATCAAAAAGGGTGTCTTCTTCCTCCTCAAAGTTCGGATTTCCACCATTGTTGGTCCTTCAACTTCAATCTTTCATATCTTTCTCATTTTAGCTCCAATTTGTAAGTTCTTTATATGAAAATTCATCTTCTCGTCGTGTAGATTCTGAATACGTTGTTTTTATTTTCCAAATGTTAGTGAAAAATTCTCTGCATTATTTTTAAGAATTTCGTATTTTCCATATTTATTCAAGAAAAATAGTTCTTGTTGTTATATTAATCTCCTACTTAGATAAACTCAATACCTAGTATAAATGATGTCTATTTGTGTTAGAAACAAAAGTTTAGATATTGGCAGTATTCACTTTAATATTTTATTTTGTTCTTATGGTTTATGATCATGTCTTATTTTATATGTAAAGGATTAAAATTAGTAATGAGTTGTTGTAGTTAATTTACTGTTGGGCATGAGTTGAATTAAAGAATATGGGTTGACCTTGTTTGACTGAAAATTAGGAGTTTAACTAATTTTATGGACTAGTTGTTTAAAATGATTAATTTGATTCACTACAAAAAAATTCACATGTAGTCACGGACTTAGTCACGGACCATAGTGTAAAAAATCCGTGTGACTAGAATGTAGTCACTGAACATTGGTCGTGACTAAGTGTAGTCACGGATTAGTCACGGAATGAGTCCGTGACTAATTCTTGACCGGAATTAGCCCTTCGGCGCGTTAGTCACGGACCAGATCCGTGACTACTTTTAATTTAATTTTTTTTTATGTTAGTCACGGACATGTCACGGACCATGTCCGTGACTAAGTTTAATTTAATTTTTTTTATTTTTTATAGTAGTCACGGACATGTCCGTGACTACGTGTATTTTTATTTATAAATTCGACCATATTAGTCACGGATTGGTCCGTGACTAATGTTTTTAAAAAGCCCGAGATTTAAATTTTCAAAATTTGTTTTAGTCACGGACATGTATCCGTGACTATGTTTTGAAAAAAAATGAATTTAGAAAAGAGTTCCGGATTAAAAAAATAGTCACGGATTTAGTCCGTAACTAATGTTTTTGGTTTTTTTTTTTTAAATCGATCTAAAAAAATTAGTTTAATTTTACTTTAAAGCAATTAGAATAAAAACAAAATCCATACAATGTTAAACATAAAAAATGTTATTAGAGACTGAATTATAAAAACAAAATCCATACAATGTTAAACAATATTACATGCCCGCACGTCGGACTCCATTATGATAAAAATTAGAATCATCATAATCATATGCATCATCATTATCATCATAATCACGATGATGATCCTCTTCAGCATCCACGGTGTCTAAGGGTCGGGTACCTCCTCGGCTGCCTCGGCTGCCTCCTTGGTTGCCTCCTCGGTTGCTTCCTCGGCTGCCTCCTCGGCTGCCTCCACCGGATGACTGAAACTGATTGAGAATATCAGACGACAGAGATCCAAATGTCGACCCCATTGCAGGCATGGCACCATATCCCGAGTTAGAGTGATAACCCATATGACCCATGTGCGGAACCTGAGGAGTCTGCTCAACGTGCAACAGGTACGGCCGAGGAAGAGGCTGAGGCGGAGGCTGATATCCGGCAACGATCCGTTCCATTGCTTCCAACCGGGTCCTTGTTTCTTCATCATTCTTCCGTTGCTGTTCGAATGCCCGCTGCTGCTGCTCCAATTCTCGCTGCAATTGGGCGATGCGTGGATCCTCTCCCCGCCTAGATCGAGAAGATGATGAAGCTCCGTTGCCGCTGCGATCGTACAAAATACGTTTTCCCTCAGCCCCGAGGCACGGAAGCCGACCCTTGTACACCCCAGTTGCCTCAAGGATCGCATCATCTTCCACATCAGAATCGATGTCATCTTCCTGCGTCAAGCCTAGTTCCGCCCGCTTCTTCTCAACATTTGCGTTATACTTCGTCTACAAGCATGTACAAAAATTATTGAAATGATATTTACTTCGATTTGAAATAATAAAATTGATGTTACGTACTTCGATTTCAGCAAGGCGGGGTGGCAGATCGGCTTCCAACTCATCACCGTGCGGAGTCCAACAATGTTTGATGACCTTGAGGATAGAAACCCTCTTCTTTTGAGGCCCCGCCTACAAGGTTCAAAAAAGGTTTAAATAAATGCAAAAAAATAAAGGGTTAAAATGGTGTAAGGTTTATTTGAATAAGGCTTACAAGAGCTTCTTTATGTTTACTCTGAGGTTTGCGGCCTCCGTGCCATTATATCGTCAATGCCTTCTCGGACATCCGATTTTTCTTGTCGGCTTCGCTTCTAGCCAAGAAAGTCGGATCCGAAGACCAATGGCGGACGAGGTTTTCCCATACCTCATCCGAACACCATTGAGGCCTTACCCCACTCGCTCGGGCACACTTAAAAGTGGGACGAAGCCAGTTTGAAACTCTGGCATTGTACGCCCTTAGAATAGCGGGGTCTTGTTCTTCAGTCCAACGAAACCGACCTTTATTAAAAAAATAAATTAATTTATCATTTGTCAAATTTTAGGTTACAACAATAACGGAAAATTCATTTTTTTACCTTGAACAGGTTCCACCAAAGTTCACGGACCTTGTCCACCAATTATGATTTTGATTTGGTTCAGCACTTCTTTATCGCTTCAAAAAATTAATGATATTTTTTTATATCCGTTTGGTTAGATTATTTGACATTAGATAAAATTATTTGACATTAGATAAATTTCATAGTTACATACTTAGCAACCATGTGAGGTGTCACCCATTCCGAATCTTCATTGTTGCGCCCGGCTTGGGTTAAGGGCGCATAGTTCGGGCGAGCACGGGAGGTTGATTGTTCATTGCTCATCTAAAATAATTGATTAATGAGGAGTATTAATTTAAATTTTCAAATAATAGTGTAAATATAATAGAAGATCAAATTTTGGTTGAAATCTTAAATAAGTTTTCATATTTAAATTTTATAAAAAACATTTTATATAAAAGCAGTTTTTTGTAAACAATTTTTTGTAAACAGTTTTTTGTAAACAGTTTTCTGTAAACAGTTTTCTGTAAACAATTTTTTGTAAACAGTTTTTTATAAAACTGTATAAAAAACAGATGTATAAAAAACAGTTTTCTATAAAACAGTTTTCTATAACAGTTTTCTATAAAACAGTTTTGTGTAAAAACAGTTTTGTGTAAAAACAGTTTTGTGTAAAAACAGTTTTGTGTAAAAACAGTTTTGTGTAAAAACAGTTTTGTGTAAAAACAGTTTTTTGGTATAAACAGTTTTTTGGTATAAAAACAGTTTTATATAAAAAGATTTTTTTTATCGTTTAACTCAATATGAGGGGGTATTTTTATAATTAATATTCTATATTAATGTCTAACTCAATATTTTATAATTAACATGTCAAACTTTTTTGGAAGTTTGACATGAGGAGGTATTTTTTTTAATTAATTCGGAAGAACTTTTCAATTAAAACAGTTAAAACAGTTTATTTATTAAACATTGTCTTTTTATAGTCTATATTTTATTATAAACATTAAGAACTGTTTTTAATGTCTAACTCAATATTTTATAATTATTAACATGTTAAACTTTTTTGGAAGTTTGACATGAGGGGGTATTTTTTTAATTACTTCGGGAAAACTTTTTAATTAAAACAGTTTATTTATTAAACAGTGTTTTTTCATAGTCTATATGTTATATTAAATTTGAGAAAACTGTTTTTAATGTCTAACTTAATATTTTATAATTAACATGTTAAACTTTTTTGGAGGTTTAACATGAGGGGGTATTTCTTTAATTAATTTGGGAATATAATGTAATTAGGCATACATATTAATTAAACTAACTCATGTTCTTTAATTCATAAGTCCGAAATTAAAAAAGATAATGTTTAATCATGCATGTTCTTTAACCTACAATTAAATTTTATTTAGGCATACATATTAGCTAAACTTAGACACAACAAATAAAGGCATGCCAATTAAACATATATACAAACTAAATCATGTTATATTGAGCATATAGAACATGTAATAAACTGAATTATATTAACATGTATTTTGAAAAAACGTGTGCTTAATAACATGTATACAAAAATGAATTTAATAACATGTACAGAAAACAAGTATTTCGAAAACTGAATTATATTAACATGTATTTCAATTCTAAAATTAAAGCAATATTATAAACTAAATGAAATTATATTTCGAAATCATATTACTACACATGCATCAATTTGAGATATTAACTAAAATCAAATTATAACATGTACTGAAATCAAATTACATATACATAAATCAATTTGAGCATATTAACTAAATCATATTACACAATTTGAGAATAATGGGAACACACTTATCGTAACATGCATTTTTGAAATAAAAATCAAATACTAAAAATAAGAATTAAAAGTAAATAAAATTTAGAATACATAACCTTTATGAAAAACGAAGGAGGCGGCCGACAGTGGCAGAAGACGGTGGCAGCGGACGGCGGCAGTGGACGGTGGAGGGCGGAGTTGGAGGTTGAGATCAGCGGAGTGTAGAAGAGTTAGGGAGAAAGAGTTAGGGTTTTGGGTTGGAGAGTATGCGGAATGAAAAATTAGCTAAGTGTTGAATTTATATGAAGGCGTAGTCACAGACGTAGTCACGGATATATTCGTGACTAGCCGTCTTTAATAACGAAGTCAGACGCGCGGAAGATGAGGTGTCAGGGCCACCTTTGACCGCCTTAGTCACGGACGGATCCGTGACTAGGTCCGTGACTAATTCAAAAATTTGAATTAGTCATGGACCTAGTCACGGATCCGTCCGTGACTAATTACTTTCCAGCCGTTCTGCCAACTCCTCGGGCAGGCCGGCGACAGTGGAATAAATTCCACTTTATTATATTCGATTTTTCAGTATAAATAGATGATGTCCGGTCCAATGTTTGTGTGGAAAAAAATGGCTAATCGAGAACCAATTGACTGGGATTCGATGTGCAGAGCTATGAAACGACTCAAGCTAATTACACAGCTTATGGAGCCGAAAACCGTTGAAGCATAACAGAGAATCAAGGAGTTGATGGCTGGACCCCTTGAAAGTTTTGGCGACTATAAAGATGAGGAATCCGACTCACTCGGCAAGTCAAAAGCAAACAACTTGTGTCGGATGCTTCAACGTGCAGAAGAATGTTCAGAGTATATGGATCCGATCAACGAAGAAGCTGAAAGGAAAATTAACGAGTTGTTGGCTCGGCCTCTTGAAAGTTTTGATATTGATGAATAATTTTGTATTTGTTTGTTTGCTTATTATGATAAATGATTAATGTTTCGTTAGTTGATTGTGATAAAAAAATTGTGCGTTTCATATTTATCTTTTAGTAATGATGAAGAAAAAAATAAAATTTTGTTGGACTACAATAATAATGAAGAAAAAAGCTCAAATATTCGAACGCAAAAAAATTGTAATAAAACAATACAATTAGTCACTATCAGAATCATTATTTTCTACATATACAACATCTTCTTCTGTATCAGAACCGTCTATCCATTCTCCTTCTTCCTGATATTGAGCATTTTGTTGTTCTTCATGCATTTCAACAATTTCGCGCTCAGATGGAGTTGTTAGGTCCAGAAGGTGCGTTTCTGGCATGACTTCAACACTTCCCCCATTGTTAGGTCCAGAATGTGCTGGTTGACCGTCTCAACAATCGGCGGAGGTTGGAAAAAATGTTGTTGAAAAGCATCTAAATCAACGTCCTTGTGTTGAGTTTGTGATACGATTTTGCTCGGACGGACAGTACATGCACACACCCAAGGATTCTGTGTCCGCCTGGTTGAAGGGTATTCTGCATAATAAATCTGGGCTGCTTGTTGAGCAAGTATAAAAGGCTCATTTTTCATATACACGCGAGAGTGGTTGACGTCAATCATATTATACTTTGAATTTTTTCGCAGACCACGTGTTGGATCGATCCATTTGCAGCGGAACAAAACGCATGTCAACTTTTTCCCAGCAGAAGGCATTTCCAGTTCGAGAATCTCGTGCAAGACACCAAAAAAATTGGTTTCCGAGTTATCATAACCGATGGTTGGGACACATAACCCGTTATTCACTGTTGGTCGGCCTTGTCCGTAACTGACTGTGTGATAGGTGTAACCGTTTATCACATATGACCGCCAAACTTTCGCATAGGCACCAGGGCCCCACGATAATGATACTAACAAAGGGTCCACAATCCCACGGTTATTGATCTGTAAATTAAAACACGATAACATTGGGTAATTATTAAAAATTATTACTTAATAATATATATAATTAATGTGTGTGTATGTATATATACCTGATACTTGTACCACGGTATAAAATGAGAGTCCACCAATGCATCAATTTCATTGTCAGGGAATACTGAGTGCTCCGCTCTAAATTCACTGTGAAGTCAAACATGAAAATATTATAAATCAACTACCTTAATTGTATATATATTACAAAGATAACTACAAATTTAACTTACTGATAAAACGGTAAGATTTCTGGACAATTAATGAGCATATAAGTATGCGCAATTTGTAATTCTTTTCCCACGATGTATCGGTTTGTCCAAGCTCCTTTACCTCTACCTGGGTAATTGAAAATGGAAACTACATTTTCATATAAATCCTTGGCAATGCCAACGTTTCGGGCATGTCTCTTTCTTCTAGTGATGACTTCACGCTCAAAATAAAAAGATGAGAACGTTGAGATTTCTTGTTGAAGATACGCTTGACAAATTGAAGCCTCAACGTGTGCCTTGTTGGTCACTTTCTTTTTCAACTCTCCAAGAAATCTGCAATGTAAAATAAAAGTGGTACACAGATTAATGTTGTTATGAAATAAATATTCAAAGATAAATGAAATTGTGACTAACCTTTCAAATTTGTACATCCAGCAATAGAAGACGGGTCCACCATTTAAAGCCTCATACGGAAGATACATAGAAGACAGAACACCTGAACCAACAGAAGAGGTAGCAGATAATCCTGCATTCCCAACACCTGCACCAAACCCCCTTCTGTTGAATGAAGATGAAGATTCAGAAGATGAAGAACCAGAGAGACCCAGACAACAACTGATAGAACCTGATCTGACATGGTTAAGAGATCATCCTCCTAACCAAGTGATTGGACATATCAGAAGTGGTGTGCGGACCAGATCAGCATCAACAAGGAGAGAAGCAATGCTTGCCTGCTACATATCTCAGATGGAACCCATGACAGTAGAGGAAGCTCTTGCAGACTCAGATTGGATCAATGCAATGCAAGAAGAGCTTACTCAATTTGAAAGGAACAAAGTATGGGAACTTGTTCCTAGGCCAAAGCACCAGAATGTCATTGGAACAAAATGGGTATTCAAGAACAAAGCTGATGAAGATGGCAACATTGTAAGGAATAAAGCAAGGCTGGTAGCTAAGGGTTACTGCCAAGAAGAAGGAATAGATTTTGATGAGACTTTATCACCAGTTGCCAGACTGGAGGCCATCAGAATATTTCTAGCCTATGCTGCCTACAACAACATCAAGGTCTACCAGATGGATGTCAAGAGTGCATTTCTGAATGGAGATCTTGAAGAAGAGGTTTATGTAGAACAACCGTCAGGTTTTGTCATTCCTACTCACTCCTCCTGTGTCTACAAGCTTAAAAGGCCCTTTATGGTCTTAAGCAAGCTCCCAGAGCATGGTATGCCACACTGTCCCTATTCCTAGTGAACCATGGGTTTAATAAGGGAAAGGTTGACAAAACTCTATTTCAAATCTCTGTTGCTAACCATATTCTGCCAGTACAAATATATGTTGATGATATTATATTTGGAAGTACTAATGCAGAGTTATGTAAGAAATTTTCTCAAGTAATGCAGAGTCAATTTGAAATGAGTTTGATGGGAGAACTGAACTACTTCCTAGGACTGCAAGTCAAACAAATTCCAGAAGGAATCATTATCAATCAAGGGAAGTACACCAGAGACCTGATCAAGAAATTTGGAGTAGAAGGCAAATCCTCAGTGAAGATTCCCGTGAACACTTCTCAAGGAATTGGTCTGGATGATGAAGGCAAAGATGTTGATGCAACTACCTACAGAGGAATCATAGGATCTCTGCTATATCTGACTGCAAGCAGACCAGACATAACATTCTCTATTGGAATCTGTGCCAGATACCAATCAAAGCCCAAGGAGAGCCATCTTAGTGCTGCAAAGAGAATCATCATATATATCAAAGGAAATCCAAATGCAGGCCTATGGTATCCAAAGGGAGGTAACTTTGAACTAATTGGTTACTCTGACTCAGATTTTGCAGGTTGCAGATTAGACAGGAAGAGCACATCTGGTCACTGCCAATTACTAGGAGGAAGGCTGGTTTCCTGGTTTAGCAAGAAGCAGAATTCAATCTTAACCAGTACAGCAGAAGCTGAATACATTGCAGCTGGGAGTTGCTGTGCTCAGCTACTCTGGATGAAGCAACAACTAAAGGATTATGGCATTCAAGCAAAGGAGATCAAGCTGCTATGTGACAACACCAGTGCCATTACCATCACTCAGAATCCAGTCCTTCACTCCAGAACAAAGCATATTGAGATCAGACATCACTTCATCAGAGACCATGTTGAAAAGAAGCACATATGCATGGAGCATGTGTCAACAGAAGACCAGCTTCTAGATATTCTGACAAAGCCTTTGCCTGAGGCTAGGTTCAACAAACTGAGAGAAGAATTGGGAATGATGGATGAAATTCCAAAAGAAAGTTGAAAAGGAAGATCTTCTGTTGCAGACTCTCTGCTAACAGAATTCCTGTTGCAGAACCCCTTCTGTTCTCTATCCTGAACAGAGAACCTCCGTTCCTAACAGAACACCTCAGCAACAGAAACCCTCCTCTTACCTTCAGAAACTCATTCACATAACAGAAAGTTGAGGACTTAGAAGTATTTTTAGAAAACCGGGTGACCTAGTAAGTTAATAACGGTCATTTACCCTTTTACCCTTTAAAACGGTTTTACAGCCGCAAAATATTTACTGCGCCCCCATTTTCATTTATTGGTACCTCGGAACCGCCAATAATCTAAAACGTCCACTAAATCAAACCCATATATTCCATTTCCTCTAACCTAAACCGCAACTGCTCTCATTACTCTCAAATCTTCGAATTTCCATATCTCTCTAGCTCTCAAATTCTCACAACTCTCTGCAATGGCTTTCTTGAACATCAATGACCTCACCGAAGAAGAAATCAATACCTTGGTCGCTAAAATCTATACTGGGATGAATTGCGATCTTTCCGCACTCCCTGAACTAGTAGCAAATCAAGAAACGATGATGAAAATCATCAAGGGTATGGAGGAATCACAGCTCTGCAAGGTGGTAGGATATCATTTCAATTCCTACAATACAAAGGATGTGGCTGAGTTCTATCTCAATGCCACATATGAAGGGGAGACTATCAAATCTCATGTCCATGGTGATGACATCATCCTCACTCCAGAAACTGTCAACGCCCTATTTGGCGTAGTGGAGGATCCCCAAGAAGAAGACACCGAAGGCTTCATAGCCCTAGACAGTGTCAAGGTCACTATTGATAACTTCGTCCAACTATACTGCAGACCTGAAGTGGATGGAGTTCCCAAATTATACATGAAGAAGAATCTACTTCAAAGTGACTATGAGAAGCTGGTCAACATCTTCCATAGGTGTGTCTGGAGCAAGAGCACCTTTACTGACGATATGACAGTTCTCAATGCAAAAGCTGTTTTTGCAGTTCATCATGGGATGAACATCAACTGGGGACAAGTAATCATCAAGTCCCTAGTTGAATTTATCAAAAAGAAAGATAAGGAAACCGGTCTCTTCAAAACCCCCATGGGTTATGGCCTTCTACTATCAGAAACTCTGCTAAAGGCCAGAATAGGGTTGAGAAATCCCGTTGAGACTGACTACACCAAATTACTCTTCCTCAACACCTCAAATGATAGGAGAGTAGTTCTGAAGGTTGAACATAAGAGGTTGAGGACTCTGGAGTTTAGCCGGGAGAAACTCCAACAGAAGGTGATCAAGTCCAAGAAGGCTGTGAAGAAACAGCAGAAACCCTCTACCCCCTCAGATTTCGAGGAAGAAGAGCTTCTGATAAGAAAGCCTGTGAAGAAGGTTGTCACAAAGAAGGCTGCCACAACTAAAGTCCAGAAGATGATGGCAAAGAAGTCTGTGATAAAGAGAAAGGCACCCTCTTCTATCTCTACAGAAAGCACCCCTTCTGTCTCTCCCATTGTGAAGAAGGCCAAGGTTCTGACTCCTGCAATTCACGGGGAACCTGTTAACCTAACTTCTTCTGTGCAACTCATCACGAATGCCTAGCAAGGCAAGAATATTGTGTTCGAGTCAAGTGACTCAGAAGATGAAGTAGTAGTGCTGGATGCCACTACTCAGGGGGAATCTCACAGATCTCCCTCTGCAACCTTGCTTGATCAACCCTTGCTGACTTCCTCTCCAGAACATCATGAAGTCAACAGAACCCATGAGCCCTCAGAACCTCAGGAGAATATCTCCTATGTCCTAGACAAACAATTTATCAGGGCTCTAGCATGGAGGAAGTGGAGAGTGGGATCTCTCTCTGAACTGATCAGAATGCTCCCCAACTTCATCTTTGAGGAAGCTGAAGTCCTCAAGTGGGCTGGAACAGAAGATGTTGAGCAATGCGTCAACAAGTATTTCCTTCTATCTGTTCTAGCAGAAAAGAAGAAGGAGGAATGCGAAGGGAAGGACAAGCAGATTCATGTTGATGAGGAGCAACGTGTCAAAGCATTAGCAGAAGATGAAATTGATGCTTTTGATGAGTGGGTCATTGAGAAGAAGTTGCAGAAACAACTGTTTACAACGCCTTAGTCCCTAGAACTTAAGAAGCACTCCTCGTCTTCTTCAAGTCTAGTTGCCACCCGGGATGCAGTCCTGCTTCCTGATGGCTGGTCTCGTTTCACTGAGTCTCTTGAAGTATCCCCACTTCACTTCTTTTTCAAGAAGTGTTTGATTCAAAATCAGTTTTCTCCAACGTTGCTTCTTCACAAAGGATGAGTAGATGAAGCTTTCGAAGTGTTGAATAACTGAGTAACTTTGCAGCTTGCTAGTTGGATGAAGGATAGGAAAATATATCTTCCAACTGTAGCCTTTTCTTGTTAGGAATGAAGTTTGAATCTTAAGAAGGCTTTGAGCAAGTTCGTTTGGCAGATATTGTAGCAAAGTTAGTTTACTTAGTTCTTCAGAGTGTATCTTATATACTGGGAGCAGTCTTCTCGTTGGAGTGTAGAAGATAGCTTCATTAAATGCTTGTACTGTTGACTTGACCGGTTGGACCTTCGACTTGCTATTTTGGGGGCGTGAAGATACCCGCATGGTCAATCATCAACTTTAAATATCTCTTCGTACGTACAACATTAAATGTGCATTTAATGCGTGTATAGTACCATGTTTCCGTTGAAAGGTTCGTAACCGTTAGGGGATTTCCCGTTAGTTTAACGACCGTTGGAAAGAGCTTCCGGAATCTGGTGGGTTTAGCAGAGTCTTAAGAGGCTCTCTGGTTCAATCTCTGAAGTCCGCCTCTGTTGCCAACTCTGGTATCTTTCTGATGACCAGTTTCTGATGGCTTCTCTGGTGAGCAACTCTGGGAGCAACTCTGGTAGAAGCAAGATGGAACTCTGGCAGACAGACTAAGCTAAAACTTACAAAAGAAATTCTAATACAAAATTTCTAATGGGGTACTTTCAAATTCTAATTAACCTAGCATCATCAAAATCTAAATACAATTATTCCTTACAACATCCTTCATAGGTGTGTCTGGAGCAAGAGCACCTCCACCGATGACATGAATGTGCTCAATGCAAAAGCTGTCTTTGCAGTTCATCATGGGATGAACATCAACTGGGACAGGTAATTGTCAAATCCTTTGTTGAATTCATCAAAAAGAAAGACAAGGAAACCGGACTGTTCAAAACCCCCATGGGTTATGGTCTCTTAATCTCTGAAACCTTGCTCAAGGCAAGGATAGGGCTGAGAAACCCTATTGAGGCAGATTACACCAAACTGCTCTTCCTCAATACCTCAGGTGACCGGAAGGTTGCACTCAAGGCTGAACAGAAGAGGCCGAGGACTCTGGTGTTTAACCGTGAGAAGCTTCAACAGAAGACCCTCAAACCCAAAAAGGCTGTGAAGAAACAGCAGAAACCCTCTACACCTTCAGAATATGAAGAAGAAGTTCTGATCAGAAAACCTGTGAAAAAGGTTGCTCTGCAGAAAGTTGTCCCTGCTAAAGTTCAGAAGCTAGTAGCTAAGAAATTTGTTCTAAAGAGAAAGGCACCTTCCCCTATCTCTACAGAAAGCACCCCCTCTGTCTCCCCCATTGCAAAGAAGGCAAAGGTTCTCACACCTGCAGCACAGGAGAAGCTGGAGGATTCTGTCACCTCTGCCCCAGCCAACAGAAATGCTTGGCAAGGCAAGAGGATTGTCTTTGAGTCTAGTGACTCTGAAGAAGATGTAGCAGTACTGGATGCTACTGTTCAGGGGGAATCTCACAGATCTCTCTCTGCAACTTTGCCTGAGCACCCCTTGATACTTACATCATCAGAACAACATCAAGAAGACAGAACCCCTGAGCCCACAGAACCCCAAGAGCTTATCCCCTCTGATCTAGATAAGGTATTCACAGAAGAAGTGGAGAGTGGGACCTCTCTCAGAACTACTCAGTCTGCTTCCCAACTTTATCACAGAAGAAGCTGAAGTTCTGAAGTGGGCTGGGACAGAAGATGTTGAGCTTTGCCTCAACAAGGACTTTCTTCTATCTGTCCTTGCTGAAAAGAAAAAGGGGGACTGCAAAGGCAAGAGAAAGCTCACTGATATCATAGAAGAAGAGCATGTCAAAGCTCTGACAGAAGATGAGATGGCAGTCTTTGATGCTTGGCTGATTGAAAAGAAGAGGAAGGAGTCTATGATCAAGTTTCAACATAGTGCACATGGAGAAGGGGAACCCTCTACTGCTAATGATCTACCCTTGGTCATGGCGAGGCTGGTCAAGGAATGGAGAGACTCAATGATCACAGAGACTCTACTTGAGGTAATTCCTGAACCTCCACTCTCACCCAGAATGCCCACTCCCTTTCCAACCCCACTCCCAACCCCTCAACAGAACACCTCCTCACTTCATCAGAAGCCCTCTTCTGAACAGAAAACCCCTACACCCCAAAACCCTCAATCTCCAAATTTTCATCTCTTTCACCCTGCAAACCGTTCTCTCCCCCAAAGAACAGATCCCCTTCCCCTCCCCCATCCTCTCAAAGACAAATTATCCAATACCAACCCCAACAGATCATTTCTTCATCACCACCACCTCAACAGAAATTCCCTTCACCTACCAAGTCTGAACATCAAGTAACTCCACAAGACTCCCATCAACCACACCAACCTGCAGCTCACCTAAAACCTGGATGGTTTCTTAGAGATTCTGATCCTACAACCATCTCCCCCATCTCTGCACCACAAGGTTATTCTAGGCACTCTACTGCCCCCAATCCCTCCCTCAGGAGGAAGAAGAAGGTAATCAGAAACAGAATACCAATCTACTCCTCTTATGAAGACTCTTCTGACATGGATGGATTCATGATCAGCAAGTCCTACAAAGCTACTTCAAAGAGACAGAAGACCCCTCCTCTGACTCAACTTGACCATGAACTTATTGTTGAATCTCTCTCCTCTGTCCAAGAACATCACCCTTTGCCTAAGGGAAGAGGTCTAGAGGTGCCTCCATCTGATGGACAAGAGAATCAAATTACCTTCAACCAGTTCGTTGAAGCAGCAGAAGACTTTGGTGGACAAATCCTCCAAGGCATGAACAAGTTGATACAGATCAATGAGAAGCATTATGGGCACCTTGCTCATTTGAATGATAATCTCAATTCTGGGATGCAGTTTATCTCAGATCGCTTTGAGAATCTCACAACATCCCTCCAAAACTTCATGGCTTCCTCAACTGCCAAAACAGATGCGCTGTCAACAGAAGTGGAAGGTATCCATAAGACCCTTTTCACCTTTCATCAGACTCTGATAGCTCAAGGCAAAGCAATTGAAACCATCTCCTCGAATATTGATGACCTCCAATGGGCTGATACAAAATCAAAAGAACAAGCCAGGACTCTATTTGCTCAAGACAAAGAGAGATATCAGAAGATGGTTCTCTTAGAAGCCAGCAACAAAGATATCCTGTCTGCCATCCAGAAGCAATATGGGCTTATTGAAGGTCTTACATCTGTAACTCAAACCTTACCAGAAACCCTGGAACAGATTGCCTCTACTCAGGCCACAGAATTCCAGAAATTCTCCCTTCTGCTTGGTGATCTCGATGATGCCAAAAAGGGGGAAGAAGACCCTCATCTACCAAAACCCAGGACCACCAGAACCTCATCATCTGCTGAACCAACTGTGGATCCCACGCCTTACTTTGAAGCTGCCCTCCAGAAGAAAAGGCTAGCTGGTATCCCTAGACCTCCATCCCCACAGAAGAAAGGAACTAAGAAGAAGAAATCTCTAAGCTTTAAAGAATGGAGACTGGGAGGTTCTCAGGTGATGTCTAAAACACAATTTGAGGAAATGAAGCAGAAGATGACCTCTACACAACAACAGAATCTTTATTTGGACCATGATGGTCATGTGAAGGTTAGACATGGTGGATCTCTGGAAGAAGCAGAATTCTGGTTTCACAACAGTATTGTACAAGTAAAAGATATCCATGAAGGTGTTCTAAACTACCTAGATTGCAAACTCTCACCCGTCTGGGCTTCCTATCAAAGAACTGGAAATCTGGTTGGAATCAGAGAAGAGGTGAATGCAGAGCTAAAGAGACTACAAGGACTGGATGAACAAGCAAGAGCTGAAACTGCAAAGGCTATTATGTAATCAGATAGTCTTGTAATCCACCTTAATAAAAGAACATCTCTGCCTCACACTTTGCAAGGCAATTCCTCAATCTCTGGCTTTTCTTTACTTTCTGTTTGTGTTTGTTTGTCTGCTTTTTGATTTTTTATCTGCTATCTGAATGTACTGCACTCTTACTATTTTCCTATGCCAAGTTGCCCACCAAGATTTTAATGGAAGTTCTAAACTTTAATTCTTTATGGTGAAGGCACTTCTCTGGAAATAGTTAAAGGGTTTTGGCATCATCAAAAAGGGGGAAATTGTAAGGAATATTTGTAATTAGATTTTGATGATGCTATATTAATTAGGACTTTAAAGTACTCCTTTTAGACTTAATGTATTAGAATTGTCCTTTGTAAAGTTCTTAGCATAATCGACTACCAGAAGACCTCCTGACAGAAGATCTTTGGTTCTCTGCCTAGGAACAGAAAACCTCAGGGTCTCTGTTAGCCTTTACTTTGACAGAAACCCTCCTGGTTCTCTGTAAGCTATTATCAACAGAAGTGTTCAAGACCTTCTCTGACCAACTCTCTGCTAAAGACACCAGAAGGCCTGACACTTGGAAGAATTCCACAAAGCCGGGAAATCAACTGAAAGATTCCTTCAACGGCTAGGAGACTTGTACGGAAACGCTACAGTGCCAGCATTAAATGCACATTTAATTCTCCCCATGCTCCGTAGAGTAATTGCAGATGATTGGCTGCAATGTCAGGATTACTTTATCCCAAAATAGTAACCCGTCAACTTTACCGGGTCCTACTGGTCAAGTCAACTGCTCGCGCATTAAATGCAGTTGTCCTCCTTCACCTCCAACGGGAAGACAACCCTCAGTATAAAAGATACACTACGAAGAACAACCGGATAATTTTTGCTCTACTAACTTTGCCAACTTCACCACATTCTTTGCAAGAAAAACACATTGATATTATTCAAGGCAAAAAGGTCCTCTTGAGATTCAAACTCTTCATCCTCAACAAGAGAGACACAAGTTGGAAAGAATATAACTTCATATCATTAAATCCAACAAGAGCAAGGTTCCAACAGTTCTTCAACAACTTCAAGCACTTCATCTACAAATCTTTTGTAACGAAGCAAGTTGGAGGACCCCTGTTTCAACAGAAACTCTTCTTGTTACAAGAAGAACGTCCAAGTAACTGGAGTAGTGAAGTGGTGATACTTCCAGGAAGCTTAGTGAAAGGCCCAGTCTTAAAGGAAGCCAGGCAGTGCATCCCAGGAGACATCTAGGCTTGAAGAAGACGTGGAGAGCTTCTTAAGTGCTAGGACTAAGGCGTTGTAAACGGTCGTTTTTACAAGCTTAGTGGAACAGTGGATTAGAGGAACGAGTTGTTCCTTGAACCACTATAAAAATCCCTGGTGTCATTTACTTACTGTTTTAAATATTTGCACTTAGATAGAACTGTCTAACTCCTTAGACTTGGTATCTGTGTTCAGCAGAACTTGTCTTACGAGTTAACAGAAGGCCTACTGCCTTTGCTTTTCTGAGGCTAAATCAACAGAACCCCCTACCAGAACCCCATCCGCTTCCAGTCTGTTCTGTCAACAGAACAGGCTATTCTGTAAAATCTGGTACTTAGTTTAAAAAGCTAAAAACCAATACAGTCTATTCACCCTTCCCTCTAGACTGTATCCAGTACAACCGAGACCAACAATTTTCATTGAATTTTTGTACATTGTTCTAAACTCTAGAGTACAATAATTTATAGTCAGTTTCGGACTTCAATCTATTCTATTCTTCTTTGTCTTCTTGTGACTTCTTCTTGGCTTCCTACTTTGCCTTTGCTTCTTCTGCCTTCCTTCTTCTTATCTCAGCTTCTTCTCTGTAGACCTGGTACGTCCTTCTTGTTTCTGTTGCTTTCTTTGCTGCTATTAATCTCTTGAGGGAGGGGCCTGCTTGTGTTGAACCTTCCCCCCTTTTGGCATCATGAGAAGGGGTCTTGCTTTCATCAAACAGTGCTTCGATTTCTGAATCAGATTCAGGCTCTTCTTGCATTCTTCTTGTTGGATCCAGACCATAGACCTTGATGGACAAGGCTTTGATGTAGTTGTTGACGTCTAGCAGATCTGTTCTTACTTCATCTCTGACTTCATTTTCAAGCCTTTGAACCCTTTGGTTAGTTGTCTCGAAATTCTGGCCCAGTCTTTGAAGGTTACTTCCATGCTTTAGGAATGCCTCTTGTGTGGCTTGGTGAAGGTCAGTGAGGTGTTTGACAACATCAGTTCGTGTTTGACCAATTGCCTCAGAGTGTTCAACTTGTTTTGTGACCAACTTTTGTGAGAGATGGAGAATGGCAGGAACTCCTCATGTGACTGTATTGTTAGAAGGGCAGGCTCAAGGTTGGGGGGAAGATTAGGAAGAGCAGGTACCTGAGCAGAGACCTCTGCTGTTGGCTGGGAGGCACCTGTTTGACCGGAGGCAACTGCTAGCTCTTGTTTTCTTAGTTCTTTGAGGGATTCTACGATTTGATCTTCTAGCTCTTCATCCCTGGCTTTCAAGGCTTCAAGCTCTTTGGGAATCGCCTCCATTTGAGCTGGTTGGTTTGAGAGTTGGATGTTGAGCTGTGCTTTTTGCTCTGAGTTGAATACTTGCTGTATCATCAAGTTGCTCTTTAGATGGCAGTGTACTTCAGCGAACCTCATTTCTAGCAGCTCATCAAAATGGTTCTTCATTTTGATTAGTCTCTTGTGTAGGCGAAGCTCAACATTACTTATGAATTTTATGGTTGCTCTTCTTTCGTTGATGAAGAAAGACCTCTGCCAGTGTAGGAGTGTCTTCTTCACCATCATGCTGAATTTGATCTTTGATCTCATTTGATGTGGCAGGCTGCTCAGGTGTTGTATCTTGGTGGGGTTCCAAGTTGAGATCTATCAGAGCAGTCCCCTGCAGGATGGTGGCAACTAGCAGCTTTTGGGGAGCTTTGGAGGATTCTCCTCCTCCTTGAGTTTCCATTTTGGATTACTCAAGGGCCTGCCTGAGTTCTTTATCACTTGAAGAGGAGGAGTGGGTGAATTGCTTATCTCTTGAGGTAGGTGGTCCTTTGGAGGTATCATCATCATCATCATCATCATCTGATTCACTAATTGCGTCCTTTGCAGTCAGCAGTTTTCTCTTGGTTGCATATACTTGGTTGATTTGGTGAAGGTTGACTGTAGTTGCAAGATCCTCTGTGCCCATCCAATCTAGAGTGAAATCCTCCTCATCTATGAACATGGCCAGGGTTTCAGCTTGATGAAGGATCCTTGATAGCTTCCATGCTCTCCATGCTTTGACTCGTGCAAAGTCCGCATCCAGTTGCTCTAAAGGAGTCAGAGCCAGTGAGTCGCCTGCTGAAGATGGTAGAGGTACCTGCTCATCTTGATGAGCCACCTGCTCGGCCTCAAGGGGAGCCACCTGCGGAAAAAACTAAGTTATTCAAGTTATTTTTCCCAAATAAGTCCCGCTCCGACCGCCCGACGAGTCATCTACTTAAAAGGACTCTGGTTGTTGACTCCCTCTCTCTGTTTGTTGTGTGATTTTGGGAATAAGTATCGAGAGAGGAAGAGCAGAACTGTTGCTTCCATTTGAAGAGTTGGAAGAGGACTCTGCTGCTTCCTTGATTGCTAGTGATGGAGAGGCCACTGCTGGCTCTTCGTGAATGATGGCAAGAGGGGAGAGCACTGCTTCTTCTTCCTGTATGAATGAGGCCGCTTCTTCCAGTTCTTCTTGTAAATTTCTGGTTGCTGTCCTTGGTCTCTTGGACTGGATTTCTTTGCAGCCAGATCTTGGTCTCTTGGCTAGCTTAGTCTTGATTCTGGTGAATTCAGTTTTGAGAGGCTCGTGGGATTGAGAGTAGCATCTTGCTTCTGTATTTCTGGAGCCCCTGCTTTAGAGGTTTGATGGAGAAACTTCCCCCAATTAAGAATCTGTACCCTAGCAATGGTAGGCTTCCATCCTTTCCTCGTCCCTTGTGAGACTTATTTACATACTTGATAAGTTCTTTGTAGACATACCATGATCAGTTGTGTGGGGAGCCAGAGATTATGGCTGCTAGTGGAAGTGCGCTTTGTGCATTAATTTCATCCGGTGCAGTGGTTCTGTTGTCAATGCACTTGTAAAGGATATCAAGCAGAAGGGAGTATTCTGTGACCAGCATACCCTTTTTCACTTTGAGAGTACTCAGGTGTTGTGCCTTTGGAAGGAACGCCATTTCCTTGAAGCCTTGCTCGTCAAGGGTGATGTCATCAACGTTTCTGGCTTCTTCTCCAGGTAGAGAAAGCAGTTCCTTTATTTCTTCCTCCTTTATCTCTACTTCAAACCCCATCACTACAGATTTCAGAGTTTCAGGAGTGGAGTTGATGTAGAACTCTGCTACTACCTCGGGGTAGAAGCAGGGGTATGGGTAGGTGGCCATTTTCATAAGTCCTGTTGTCTCTAGCTTTTTGAGAAGTTCCCTTATGAGATCTTTGTTCTCTGCTTTCTCAAGGATTTTTGGGGTGAACAAGAGAGGCCATTTGTGTGTATGCAGATTGGGTTGATGAATGATGAGTTGGAATTGCGATGGACTTGCTTTTGAGAGCTTTAGAGTGTTTGAGAGCTTAGGAATCAGATAGAAAGAGATTGCAAAGTGAAAAGTGTGAAGGAGGTGTACGGAGGGAGTATTTATAGGCTATCGGGAACTAGCCGTTGGAGAATACGGCTGGCCTTTTCAGCATTAACTGTGTTCACACTGGTAGCAGGGGGCTCATTTTTAAGTAGATTTTTGATGATTTCTGAGAACAAGAGGTACCTTGTTGGAATCCTTGATATAGGGCATCAATATGATGTATGTTACTTGTTGAGATTCCATGTACATTTGTCAGAAATTGAGCCAACTGCTGGCCTGAATCAATGCTCTGCTCCTGAGGCAATCACCTGCTGGCAGTCACCTGCGCGAAATCTTGAGTCAGTGTTGTTACCTCCATTCGCCTTCCTTCTCTTTCTAGTTCTTTTCCTCCTTTCTGAGAAAATGTGCATTTTCATTCTTTTTACAAGTAGCAGTGGGCTAGTAGCCAGTCGCCTGCTGAGCCCACTGCTTGTTAGGATGCAGTCAACTGCTGAGCCAATTTTGTGAATTATGACTCCTTTTGATCTTGATATCCTGATAGTGACTTATTTGGACCTTGATGCTTCATTCCTTTGATGTTTTGAGTAGCCTACCTTTACCAGGTGGCTACTTCTGAGCACTTCATAGAAGTTCCCCCTCTGCAGGTTGCTGGGAATTCCCCCTTAATTTTTGAATCAAATTCCCTCTGAGTTGATGCATGATTATTCCTTCACTTGATCTAGATCATCTAACATTTCAATCTCTTGCCTTAGTTGGTTGAATCTAGCTTCATTCAATGGCTTGGTGAAGATGTCAGCCAACTGCTTATCTGTGGGGATGTACTCAAGCTTGATGGTTTTGTTCTCAACATGCTCTCTGATAAAGTGATGCCTGATCTCAATATGTTTGGTTCTTGAATGAAATACCGGATTATGAGTGATAGCAATAGCACTAGTGTTATCACACAGTATGCTAATCTCCTTTGTTTCTTCTCCATAATCCCTCAATTGCCGTTTCATCCATAGTATTTGTGCACAGCAGCTGCCTGCAGCTATGTATTCAGCTTCAGCAGTGCTAGTAGCAATTGAGTTTTGTTTCTTGCTGAACCAAGAGACAAGTCTTCCACCAATTAATTGACAAATGACTGAGGTACTTTTTCTATCAATTTTGCATCCGGCAAAGTCTGAGTCTGAGTAGCCATAGAGTTCAAAACCTCCATTTGTTGGGTACCATAATCCAGAGTTAGGATTACCTTTTAGATACCTCAAAATTTTCTTTGCAGCTAGAAGATGGCTTTCCTTTGGTTTTGATTGAAATCTTGCACATACACCAACTGAGTAAGATATGTCTGGCCTACTAGTGGTGAGATATAATAAGGATCCAATCAAACCTCTATAAAGTGTAGGATCAATATCCTTGCCATCTTCATCTTGACTTAGACCTTGTGATGTGTTCATGGGTATCTTGACTGTAGACTTGTTCTCAACTTTGAACTTTTTCATGAGATCTCTTGTATATTTGGCTTGGTTGATGAAGATACATTGAGAAGTCTGCTTTACTTGTAGTCCCAGAAAATAGTTCAACTCTCCCATCATGCTCATTTCAAATTTGCTTTGCATGAGAGTTGAAATTTTTTCACATAGTGCTTGATTTGAGCTTCCAAAAATTATGTCATCAACATAGATTTGAACAAGCAGTATGTGGGGACCTTCTTCTATTTTAAATAGAGTTTTGTCTACTTTTCCCTTAGTGAATCATTATTCACTAAGTATTCAGAGAGAGTGTCATACAATGCTCTTGGGGCTTGTTTGAGTCCATAAAGAGCCTTGTGTAATTTGTAGACTTGATCCTTCTCTCTATTGATTTCAAAAACAGGAGGTTGCTCAACATAAACCTCCTCTTCTAGTAGACCATTTAGGAAGGCACTTTTCACATCCATTTGATAGACTGTGAATTGCTTATGAGCAGCATAGGCCAAGAAGATTCTTATAGCTTCCAGTCTGGCAACAGGAGCAAAGGTTTCATCAACATCTATACCTTCTTCCTGGCAGTAGCCTTTGGCTACCAATCTTGCCTTATTCTTGACTATCGTGCCTTCCTCATCCATTTTGTTTCTGAACACCCATTTAGTTCCTATCACATGTTGATGATAGGGTCTAGGTACAAGCTCCCATACATTGTTTCTCTCAAACTGATTGAGTTCCTCTTGCATGGCTTGTATCCAGTCTGAGTCAAGTAGGGCTTCTTCAACTTTCTTGGGTTCAATTTGAGAGATGAAGCACGAGAATAGTGCTTCTCTCTGAATTGTTGATCTGGTACGAACCCCAATATTAATGTCTCCAATTACTTGGTGAGGAGGATGTTTATTCATCCATCTGATGTCAGAAGTTTTTGTTTTGGTTAGAATTTGAGTATCATCCTCCTCCTCTTCTTCTTCTTCTTCACTATCATCTGGTAGAATAGGAAGGTTGGGAATGTCATGAGTGCTTGGAAGGTTGTCTTTTGGTGAGTCACCTGCTGGCAGTGGGCTGACAGTTGAGTCAACTGCTGGCAGTAGGCTTCCATTTGAGTCAACTGCTGGCAGTGGGCTGCCGTTTGAGTCAACTGCCTTTCCATCCTTTTTAACACTATTATTTGGAAGGCAGCTTGGAGCCTTTCCAATGTCCCTTGATTTGGATGACTCACCTTCATCTTTTACTTGAGCAGTGGGGTGGTTTTCAAATACCACATGGATTGATTCTTCTACCACCAGAGTTCTTTTGTTGAGAATCCGGAATGCCTTGCTAGTTGTTGAGTAGCCCAAGAAGATCCCTTCATTAGATTTGGAATCAAATGCTTTGAGATAGTCTTTTCCATTGTTTAGGATAAAGCATTTGGATCCAAACACATGGAAATGACTAACATTAAGCTTCCTTTCTTTCCATAGCTCATATGGTGTCTTCTTGTGAACCTTATGAATAAGACTTCTATTTTGAGTGTAGCAAACCGTGTTGATTTCTTCTGCCCAAAATCTGTTGGGTAATCCAGCTGATCCTAAAATTGTCCTTCCTGCTTCCTTGAGTGTCATGTTCCTTCTTTCAGCAACACCATTTTGTTGAGGTGTTCTTGCTGCTGAGGTTTGATGATGGATTCCATTTTTCTTCACAGTACTGAATTATGATGGACTTGAGAAATTCAGTACCTCTATCTGAACCGATCTTCTGGATTGAGAGACTTTTCTCATTTTGAATTAGTCTCATCAATTGAGGTAGTTTCTTCTCTGTTTTATTCTTCTTTAAGAATATGGTCCAAGTGTATCTAGAATAATCATCAACTACAACCAGGGTGTACCTTCTACCACTTAAGCTTGTTGGTTCAACTGGTCCAAACAAGTCAAGGTGTAGTAGGCTTAAGGGCCTAGTTGATGATTCCACTTCTTTTGATTTGAATGATACCTTGGTTTGTTTCCCTTTTTGACAAGCATCACAGAGGTGGTCCTTTTTGAAGTTGATTTCAGGGAGTCCTTTCACCAAACCTTTTCTGGATAAGATATGTTGGATATTTCTTCATTGTAGATTATGAATATTTCAATACTTTTAATAATATTATAGTATATAAAAATTCGTATTACAAGCATGTTGTTTTATATTTACAACAAAAGTTGAAACTCCTGTGCAAAAACACAGGACTTTTTTTATTAACCCGGGGGGTCAGGGGCTTGAGGTAAATTGGGATGAATCTCACTCCGTTGAGTATTGAACCTGGGACCTTCCATAAGGGAGAGTGAGTTGACGACCAGCCGAGTTGGACCACTTCCTCCATAAAACAAAAACACGAGACTTAGCCTTATTGTCAGAAAACTTGGGAGTCGGAAAACATATACTCCGTATTATTCCGAGTGGAATTAGATTTAGAAAAAAAATGGGGCCATTCAGAAAGACGTATTCCAAAAGATCTGAGTAGCTACCATTGTGTGGGGGCAACCAAAATATAAAAAATTCATTTCTTATTAAAATGTTAGATCTTTTTTATTTATGCTCAATTTTTTTAAAAATATATCAAAATTCATAATTGTTTATGATATTTCATATAACATCAATATTGCCTAAACAAATTTGAAAAAAATAGAAATTTTAACTACATGAGGTTTTCTGACCCAAAATGTTTCGTAAACAGTTGAAGTGCTATAATTAAGATCTTATTGCAAAAATATTTTTTAAATGTTTCATTCATTTTAATGATGAGATCTTAATTTTAGCGCTTGAATTGATTTAAGAAAAAATTTTGGTCTGAAAACCTCTTATAATTGAAATTTAACTTTTTAAAACTTAATATATGCAATATTAGTGTTATATGAAAGTTCATTAAAAATCGTGAATTTTGATATGTTTGTTTATAAAAATTAGAGAACATATAAAAAAGTTACAACACTTTCAAGAAAAATAGGATTTTAGTTTTTTCGACCCCACTTCTTTGTTCTACATACTCATAATGGCTCTTTGCGAAAAAAAGAATCTAACCCTTCCTAATTCAGGATCCGCCTTTCTGAATTTCTTAAGTCCAATTTTTTGCCTCAAAGTTTTTCCCTATTTTTAAGAAAATGCCCAATTCAACATACCTCCGCATTAGTATAATACGTAAAGTGAACACATTTAAACTTGAGATGTTGTGAAACATACAAAATATCTATCACAAGCAATTATGCAAATCATTATTAATACAAATTATTATCACATATGCGGTTGAGGAGATTGCTGCTGTAAGATAATCCTTAGATAATTTTGAACAATGTTGTATGAACATTTTGTATCTTTTGGCTTCGGCCATTCTGTAACAAAACATCTTTTTCACCCTTGCATTTTGAATGTTTATCTTCTGAATGAACGGATGCCTTCGCTTTTTCTTTATGCTTTCTTCTTTAGGAATGTATGTCTGTATCGTGAGTTGACCAGGAGCCAATCACTTAGGACTTCGAAGTTTTTTCTAAGTGTTGTTCACTGCTAGGCCTTCGGTCGATGCTTCCTTCTTGATCTTGTGTAGCTTGTCATGTGTTGACCGAGGGTCAAAGATTTAGGACTTAGAATTTTTTTCCAAGTGCTGCTTACAACTGGGCCCTCAGTTGACATCTTCTTTGATGTGCCTTGTATTGCGTGAGTTGTAAGCCCTCCTTCATTGGTAGCCGGGGGCCAATAGTTTAGGACTTAGAAAAATTTCTAAGTTATGTTCACCGTTGGGCCCTCAGATGATGTTCCCATGCAGTTGTATTTTATTGTGTATGGATGCCACGAGCTGACCGAGGGATTGAGATCTAGGAGTTAGAATTTTTCAAATGGTGTTTACCCATAGGCCTCCGCCCATTAGCAGAACTTTGTGGTGTCGGGGGCCCACAACTTATGGATTTAGGAAATCCCACCACTGAGCCCTCGGTCGAGGCTTCCTTTTGATTTCGTGTGGACTTCATGAGTTGTC